CTGGTCCCTTGTTTCTCCTGCTTTATCTGGCTTCTTTGTGTGGACTGTGATGCTCTGTTGTCTCCCAGGCATTGTGATGGTTTTGTGTTTATATTAAATTGGTGACTGTATGGTGGAATGACTTGCCTATGATTTTCGTTTTCTTTGTTTTGTTTGTATATTATCTACGCAAGCAGGGTACTGTGCTGTGCTCCTCTATTCACTAGCTGATAGCATTTATACACTCACCATCTGTCTCTTTTCCTGTTGTCAGCCTCTCATATGTCCCTGCCAACCTTGGCTAACAGAGCCTATTCTTAGGTCTCTGGAATCTGAATGAGAATGCTATCGCTTTAAAATCCAAAATGGTTGCCACCTGTAAATATTCAAAATGGCTGCACCCTTGGTCACTTCAAATATCCAAAATTGCTGCTGTGTGTAAACAAAACAGCTGCACCCTCTGGACAGCGGAAAGTCAATAGCTCAGGTAGTCTCCCTCTTTGCTGTTTCCCTTCCTAGTCATAGGCCACCAGAGGAGTAATCCCTGCAGCCCTGGTGACCAGAGCTGATCTTAAGGTCAATTCTCAGGTCTCAACACCACTTGGAAATATTCCGGTTGTCAGAGTAACTGACAGTCCGTAGCTCTGACCATCTCTGTACTCACTGTTTTCGTTCAGGTTTTCCCACTAGTTGGTGCCTAATTCACTTCTGCATAGTTCCTTTCAAAGCTCAGGGCTCCAGGGTTATCTTCTGTATCTCTGTCAATTGGTTTTTCTTTTCTTTGTTGAAGAGGGTTTGTGTCACTTCTCTGCCTATTCCTCCATCTTACTAGAAGTCCCTGGATATCACAGGTTGTTAATGAGTCCTCCTCTAATCCTGATGCCACATTCTTCTTCATATTCGGACTACTTGCTCAGCACACAGACTGAATAAGTATGGTGAAAGGATACAACCTGGATACAGTCCCTTCCCAATTTTAAACCCTGCAGTATCCCCTTGTTCTATTTGAATGACAGCCTCCTGGTCTATGCACGGGTTCCCCACGAGTACAATTAAGTGTTTTGGAATTCTCATTCTTCTCAATTTTATCTATGATTTGTTATTATCCACACAATCAAATGCTTTTGCAAAGTCAATAAAACACAAGTAAACATATTTCTGGTATTCTTTGCTTTCAGACAAGATCCATCTGACATCAGCAATGATATCCCTCATTCCATGTCCTCTTCTGAATCCAGGTTGCATTTCTGGAAGTTCTCTGTGAATATACTGCTGCAACCATTTTCAAATTATCTTCAGCAAGATTTTACTTGCGCGTGATATTAATATTGTTTGATAATGTCCATATTCTGTGGGATCACCTTTCTTTGGAATAGGTACAAACATGGATCTCTTCCATATTGGTCTAGTTGAGAGGATTTTTTTTTTTTTTTTTTTTTTATGTTGAGGTATAATCTGTACTGAAGGCTGTAGTCTTTGATCTTCATTAGTGAGTGCTTCAAATCTTCTTCATTTTCAGCAAGTAAGGCTGTATCATCTGCATATCACAGATTGTTAATGAGTCCTCCTCCAATCCTGATGTTGCATTCTTTTTTATATAGTCTAGCTTCTCAGATTACTTGCTCAGCATCCAGACTGAATGAATATGGTCAAAGGATATAACCCTGATGCATACCTTTCTTGATTTTAAACCACGCAGTATCTCCATGTTCTGTTTGAACAACAGCTTCTTTGTGTACAGGTTCCTCATGAGCACAAGTAAGTATTCCGGAATTCCCATTCTCCACAATGCTATCTATAATTTGTTGTTATTCACACAGCTGAATGCCTTTCACAGTCAATAAACACAGCTCAACATCTTTCTAGTATTCTCTGCTTTTAGTGAAGATCCATCTGACATTAATGATGTTATATCTCATTCCACATCTGCTTCTGAATTCAGCTTGAATTTCTGGCATATCCCTGTTGATATACTGCTGCAAATGTTTTTGAATTATTTTCAGTAAAATTTACCTGTGCGTGATATTAATGATATTGTTTGATAATTTCTGCATTCTGTTAGATCACTTCTTTGGAATGGGCACAATTATGGATCTCTTCTACCTGGTATGTCAGGTAGCTGTCTTCCAAATTTCTTAACATATACAAGTGAGGGCTTTCATTGTTGCATCCATTTTCTGAAATATCTCAATGGGTACTCCCATCAACACCTGGAGCCTTACTTTTGTGCCAATTCCTTCAATGCAACTTGGACTTCTTCCTTTAATACAATTGGTTCTTGATCATATGCTACCTTCTGAAATAGTTGAACAGCAACAAATTATTTTTGGTACAGTTACTGTATTCCTTCAATCTTCTTTTGATAATACTGTATTGTTCACCATTTTGCCCATAGAATTCTTTAATATTGCAACTCAAGGCTTGACTTTTTTCTTCAGTTCTTTCAGCTTGACAAATGCAAAGTGTGTTCTTTCCTTTTGGTTTTCTAATTCCAGGTCTTTATACATTTCATTACACTACTTAGTCTTCTTCATCTGCCTTTTGAAATCTTCTGTCCAGCTGTTTTACTTCATCATTTCTTCCATTCACTTTAGCTACTCTCTGATAAAGAGCAAGTTTCAAAGTCTGTTCTGACATCCATTTTGGTCTTTGCTTCTTTTCTGTCTTCACAATGACCGTGTTTTCTTCCTGGATGTCATTCCACAACTCATCTGGCCTTCAGTCATTGGTGTTCCATGTGTCAAATCTATTCTTCAGATGGCCCTAAATTCATGTGGGATATAATAAGTTCACAAGAGTCAACTCTCATGAAGTTGTTTTACTTTTCTTCAGCTTCAGCTTAAACCTGCATATGAGCAACTGATAATCTGTTTCATAGTTAGTTCTTGACCTTGTTCTGACTGATGATACTGAACTTCTCTGTTGTTTCTTTCCACAGATGTTGCTGACTGGATTCCTGTGTATTTCACCTGGTGAGGTCCACATGTATAGTCACCATTTATGTTTTTGAAAAAACGTATTTGCAATGACTATGCTATTGGTCATGCAACATTCTATCATGCGATTTCCATTGTCATTTCTATCACCAAGGCCATATTTTCCAACTATCAATGATTTTTCTTTGTTTCCAACTTTTGCATTCTAATCAGTAACTATCAATGCATCTTGATTGGTCAATTTCAGATGGCAGAAGTTGGTAAAAATCTTCAATTTCTTTATCTTTGGCTTTACTGGTTGGTGGGTAAATATGAATAGTAGTATTATGAATTGGTCTTTCTTGTAGGTGTATGGGTATTTTCCTATCACTGATAGCATTCTACTTCAGGACAGATTTGGAAATGTTCTTTTTGATGATGAATGTGATCCCTGGCATAGTATACCATATCATTGCTTGTTTCAAACTGGCTAATACCAGTCCATTTCAGCTCACTAATGCTTATATCTATCTATCTTTATGCATTCCATTTCATTTCAGACAACTCCTATTTTCCTAGATTCATACTTCATATGTTCCAAGTTCTATTCATGAATGAACGTTTACAGAGTTTTCTTCTCATTTTGAATCATGCCACATCAGTAAACGAAGTTCCTGAAAGCTTTACTCCAGCCACATCATCAAGGTTGACTCTACTTTGAGGAGGCAGCTCTTCCCCAGCCATATTTTCAGTGTCTTCCAACCTGAGGAGCTCATCTTCTGGAACTACCAAACAATGTTTCAGAACTATGTCAGACAAGGTTTCACTGTTATTCATAATGTGTTCAGTAGTCAAATTTTCTCAGAAGTGGACAGTCATGTCCTTTCTTGTCTGTCTCAGTCTAGAAGCTTCTCTGAAGCCTGTCCACCATGGGTGATCCTGCTGGTATTTGAGATACTGGTGGCATAGCTTCCATCATCTCAGCAACATGCAAGCCCCACCACATTATGACAAACTGACAGATGAGTGGTGTTGCAAGGCACTACATAGGAATCAAAAAATGGTAAACCCCCTAAGGACCTTAATAATACAAATATAAAAAGAGAGCTTAAACAACAGCATTTAAAACAATCATAAAAATACAAAACAAATTAAACTACTTAAGATAACTGTGGTAGTTACACGTGGCTGGACCTGGGTGGGTGGCTGGGCAGCTGGTGGTAGTTATTCCCCATGACAAGAGTGGCAATCAACTCCATGGCAGGTTCTACCACAAGCAGTTGAGTAGCTGCTTTGGGTATGTGGTCTGCTTCCCAAAGCTGCTTCCCATATATAAGCAGCAGCTTTGGGAACGAGCTCAAGCTTATGGCACGCTTGAACCCTGCATGTAGCCATGTCGTTGTTCAGCAGCCTGTCATGCTCTGCCAACTTTGGGACTTTGAATGGACTTGAATTAATGGCCTGACATGTGGTTTGGTAACATCGGGACTGTGCCTTTTCACTTGTTGACCTTGAGTTTGTCAGCCTCAGTAACTAGCAGCTGCCTGAGTGGAGAGATGCCTCTAGCTTCAACAGGCCGGGAGCAAGAGGCAGAGCTGAAGCCCAAGGTCAAGGGGCTTTCACACAGCTTCTAGAGCCTGACACTTGGAACTCGGACTTCTAGCCTCCTGAACTGTAAGAGAATAAACTCCTGTTTGTTAAGGCCACTCTATTTGTGGTATATATTCTTGTCAGAGGAGCACAGAACAATAACTTAGGTATATAGTCATAAAATTGATCTTGCATGTTTAAGTGTTCCTGTATATTATTTGACTCAAGAAAAAAAGCAAAAACTGGAATTCCTGTGTAGAACTATATTTGACACTCTGCTAAGAAGGTTATTAGCTCAACCTACCTCAAAAGTCATTTCAAGGAGGTTTTTGGGAATTTGCATTACTCCTGTGTCTCCCAACTCTCCTGCTACACAGATCCATGGGTTGGATGTGATGATTGCATTGCTCAGCTTTTTGATTGGGATGATCACTGACCTGTATGGAATCACTGAAAGAAAAATGGTGACGTTAATTAAAAATTACAGTAAAATTTTCCTGATGACAAAACACATTAATATATCTGCAGAACTCTGTTGGCTTTCACAGATATTTTGCTTTTTATGTTCTATCAAAATGCACTTACACAAGAATTAGATTATAACCTCTTCAAGCTAGACAGAACCCTGGTAGTGTAGTGGTTAAGTGGTTGGCTTCTAACTGTAAGATTCATAGTTCAAACCCACTAGCCACTCAAAGGGAGAAAGATGTGCCAGTCTGCCTCTGTAAAGATTCACAGACTTGGAAACCCTACAGGGCAGTTTTATTCTGCCCTACAGAGTTACTATGAGTCAGAACTGACTGAATAGGAATGGGGTTGGTGTTTTTTTTTTTCTGGGTCAGTCTAGAGGAACTATAAGTACAAATAAACTACAAGTACCAATACTTGTGGCAGTGGTTTCCATGGCATATACATCACCATGTATGTATGGCAATGCTATCACCACAAATACACATCACTACTAAATTTGTAAGCAATCTCACAGGCATTAACACCAGAGTACCTGAAGACATGAACGATGACTATACTATACAGTATTCTCATTGCTTTAATGCTTTTGAAAATTAATTTTGTATCAAAATCAAATACCAAAACCTAACTCACTGCTGTTGTCATTTCCGACTCATAGCGACCCCTCCTTGGGTTTCTGAGACAGTATCACTACGTAAGTAGATTGTCTAACCTTCCTTCTGAAGAGTGTTTGGTGGGTTTGAACCGCCAGCCTTCTGGTTAGCAGTCAAATGCCTTAGGCACTATGCCACCAGATTATGCTACAAATAAGCATAATTACTGTTATGATTTTTTAATGAAAAGGATGGATGACTTCTGGGTATTTCTTTACTGTTGCTTTTGGGATCTCCATTCTGGACGTAACATAACGTATGTAAATAAACCATGACTTGGAAAGCTATTAAGGTGACTGATTCATGTACAAGAGCAACTGCAGGGAAACGATCAAGATGATGAAACCTTTTCTCTCTCAAGGTCTTCAAAAGGCACACCACTAGATGTCACTGTCCTATCACTGTCCTGTTCAAATGTGAAAGCACAACAAAGACATTACATTTCCTTCTCTTCAGAAAAAAAAAATGGGGATGTTTTAAACACAGTAGCATTTTATTTTCTTTTTTCATCAGACCCACACTTTTTGTCTTAGCAGGATGAAATAAATGTTTTTTTGTTAGTATCCTTGGGATTTCTGCTCATTCAATCACAAGCGAGTGCTAGAAATCCCCCTTGAAAGATCCACACATAGGATTAAAAACATTTACTGGACGGTGTCTAGATACAATCTCACAATATGAGTTCAAGGTTCAATGCACTCTTAAATGAGAGAAATAAATGGGATAAACGGTTCGTTTCCCTAATTTTACATAAATGACTTTCCTTATGTTGGGTGAATAACCTCCTTTTTCTACTCTTTGATTTTGACTGAAGGAAAGGAAAATGTCAGAGAAAAGGCCATGCTTTCATGGTTTAGTAATCATAAGAATCAAATGGTTTTTGAAACTGAAAGCAGAAGAGGTTAGCTAAGACTTTATTTTAGGTGCCAGAAGGTTCTCTCATTTCTTGCTTTGATAGAAATAGTAAAGCTACAGAAAAAGGCCTGTTTGGGGTCAACAGTTCTCTGGCTGCAAAGGGCCCACAGACACACAACAGTGGCTTCAATAAAGTATAAAAAGAGCAATATTATTGAACTCAAAATTCTTCTTTGTGATGCAGTGAATTATAAGGCTCTTCTAGCCATAGTGTTTGTGACTTCCACCAGATTACTAGGTGGAGCTGTGGAAAAATAAGGTGTTTGTGGCTCATCAAGGGGACTGGATAGTTTGTTAGTAATGTAAATAAGGTTACCTGGGAGCTTTGTAGGGGTGGGACCAAGAAAACAAGGTGTATGGAACCTTAATGTAGGTACTGGTTAGTTTTATCATTCTGCTAGGCTTAAAATGAGCCTTCCGAGAGCCAGAAAGGAGGATCTATCTCACAGCCATCAAGAGTGAAGAGCTGGAGGTGGAGTGGAGTGCATCCTTGGATCCAAGATGCCTGCACTGGATATCCTTGGTAGAAAGACCGGTAGAGAGACGGCGGCAGCGATGGCAGCAGCAGCAAGAAGCACAAGTCAGAGCAGTGGCTATGCTGCCCTCGGAGCAAGAAATCCAGTATCTTTGGTCAGGAGGCTTGCTGATGGAGAGGTGTGCACTACGTTCACCTATTGCTAGAGCCAACAGAGCTTTGTAACACTTGCCTGGCCAGGCCAAGGGGCCAAGGGCCAGAGAAGGGTATGTGAGGGCAGAGCAAAAAGGACACTGTCCTGAAAAAAGAATTATATCCTGAGAGCATTTGTGAACCTGAATTCTAGTCTGTTACTTCCTTAATAAACTCCATAATTGTGAGTATTGTCTGTGAGTTCTGTGTGGTCATTATAATGAATTAATGAACCCAGCAGAGAAGCAGTAAGTGGCATGGGAGAGACAGCTAGTATCAGAATTGATAAAAAGTCTGGACGGTGGTGGCATGTCTGGCCTCATAGGAATCAGCTTTGGGCTGTTGGTGTCTCCCCCTTGTGAAGTTAGAGGATGTCAGGGGAAGATGCCACCCCCAAGTCCTTTTTGCATTCTTTCATTAAGTTTATCAATTCCTCAAACTGAAAGAGTTGCTCAGATGAGAGACCTGCACATACAAGGAGTAAGGATCAAAGGAATATTAACTACCTCTGCTGTTAATCCTTTGCTTTTAAAACTGTATGTAACACCTTAGATTCTTATAACTACTGATACAAATAATAGGAGCTTGGCAGATAACTTTTAAAAACAAAAACAATGAAGCTAAACTCACTGCCAAGGAGTCAATTCCAACTCATAGTTACTGTGTAGGACAAAGCAGAACTGCCCTATAAGATTTCCAAGGATGCAGATCTTCACAGAAGCAGAATGCCTCATCTTTCTCTCATGGAGAAGCTGGTGGGTTCGAACTACTGACCCTCTGGTTAGCAGCCCAATGCTTTAACCACTGCACCAGTAGAGCTCCTAAGCTTGACAAATATCATAGGTTGATATGATAAAAAGGTCTACCTATGGAAAATAGTGAAAGCACTGAAATCGTGCCCTTTGTCCAAACATCTGACACCCGTCTTTTAGATAACACTAACATAATACCAGCTCAAAAATACAAGTCAAGCTTGTTAATCTTTTACTTAACACATTATGGCACTACATGTAAATGATAACTGCATCACCCTTGTTTTCACTGATGAAAACTGGTCTATGATATGCTCAAAGTCATTTTTTTCAGCTTCTTCTCTTTCTACTCCCAACAGAGCAAGATCACACAGTCCGACTTGACTCATAGAGGCTTTCCTTAAAGTTTTAACTTGCTGGATGACCCATCACAGCTTATGATGAAAACCATAATGGTTAATAGAAACTGCTCAGTAACACCACCTTCAAGTGGCACCATATCTTAGATACGCCTCCATTCTAATATCCATTCCAATGTCCCTTCTCCTTGTCTGCCTTTACCACACAGACTAAAAAGCCAAAATCCACATGGTTCTGGTCAGTAAAATGCTGGTGATATTTATTGGAATTTCTTGGAAAATAATGCTTTTCTAACATAGATCCTTTTCTCTTCCTCCTTTCTGCTGGAAGCTGGTTCAGAAGAACAGCCATCAAATGATGATGAGTTGATTAGCCCACATTGAATGATTCTAAGAGGAAAGGGTCCATGATGGCACTGTGGACTGCCTACATTCAGACTTCTCATTATTATATAAGAAAAACACAATTACTAATTTCTTTAAGCCACTGTTTCTCAAGTTTCTGATACTTGTGGCTGAACACAATTCCTAACCTATAAAAACTCAAAAAACTCACTGCTGTTGAGTTGGACCTGACTCATAGCGACCCCTCCTTGGGTTTCCGAGGCGGTATCACTACAGAAATAGATTGCCCAACCTTCCTTCTGAGGAGTGGCTGGTGTGTTTGAACCACCAGTCTTCTGGCTAGCAGTCAAGTGCTTTAGGTATTATGCCACCAGAAGTGAAAATTCACCAAAGAAGGGAAGGGAGACCACTACAAACATGCATTTAAAAAAAAACAAAAAGAAAACCACCGTTACTGAGTCGATTCCGACTTATAGTGACCACCCTTGGGTTTCCGAGGCAGTAAATCTTTACGGAAGTAGATTGCTCAGTCTTCCTTCTTCAGATTGGCTGGTGAGTTTGAACCACCAACCTTCAGGTTAGCAGTCAAATGCCTTAGGCACTGTGCCACCAGAACTCACATTAATAATGGTAAATAGAGTAAATGTTGTAATTCAACATTCTATTAAGAATACATCTTTAGTCAGCATGTCTTCCCACTGCTGTGTGCTGTCAATTCTGACTCATAGTGACCCTGTATGACAGAGTAAAACTGCCCCATAGGGTTTCCTGAGCTGTAATATTAATAGGAGCAAATATCCAGGTCTTTTCTCCCATAGAGTGGTTGGTAGATTCAAATTGCCAATCTTTTGGTGAGCAGCTAAATGCTTACCCATTGTGCCACCAGGATGCCTGTCATCCCACTATAGATCTTTCTGAATCATCAAAGTTTAACTGATGTTTATTATCATATACTCATTATCTGAATCTATGTTTTTAGATGTGATAGGGGATATCTGTAATAAAACATTTATTTTCACAGTATCCTAGGGTAGGACTTCCTATTACAGGCTGAATTTCTTGGGAAGCTGAATCTGAGTCAGAGATTAACGTGCAGAATGTGTATTAGAGAGTATTTGTGGGGTCAACATATAGAAGGAAGCAGGATTGGTGAAGGGAGAAGTTGGCTGCAATGCAGGCTCAACGAAGTCCTCAGCTGACCTCATCGTGAGCTCTGGGACAGCTCTTAGCTCAGTTACTGGGGTCTGGCTGCCATTGGAAAAATGAATCACTTCAGGTAAAGTAGTTAAAGAAGTTTTCTTCAGTGAGGCAACCTCCACAAGGGCTGACTTCTGAGGGCTGTCTTCTGGAAGCAGTTCTAGCAACTGGAAAATGTCCATTCCTAAATGGTGAGCTGGGTGGTGCACATGGTGCCTATCTCACTACACTATGGTATGACTGGCTGTTAAACATATAAATTGTTTTATTCCACTAGTCACCCGAGAAATTCTTCACTTAACAGGTCAATTCTCCAGACTTACTGATAGTGGTGAACACACTGGTGAAGCAGAAATAGTCCACAGCATTGAGGGAAAGAAGATGGTAAAGAAACTGCTCTCTTTCTTCCTCACAACGTAGGAAAGCATACCGCTTATAAAGCTTCCTAGGAAGGGGTAAGACAAGCACAAAACCTCAGACAATAGCATACTACATTCATGCTTTTCTTTACACCTTCCATTAAAAACTACCTCCACTTAGACAACCTCTTGGTAGGCACTTTAATCCTGAAAGAACAGAAAAGTCACAAAAATGAACATATAAACAGTTAATATATAATACATTTTTAACCTCACTAGTAATTAAAGAAAACAAAACAAAACCATGCATCCAGCTTGTCTGTCATGCCAGTAAAGATTTAAATAGTGATGATCCATGATGACAAAGGGGGCAATAAATAGTAATTCTCACAGCCTGTAGGAGTGAACATCTCAGGAAAGCAATGTGCTGGCAATAATTACTTTATACCCCTTGACTCATGAATTTTACTTTTAGGACTCAGTCCTAAGGATATAATACAAGATGTGGGCAAAGATTTATTTGCAGATGTCCGCTGAAGTGTTTTAACTGAAAATATATCATGGTAGACACATGTTAGAATACTGTGTGGCTATTAAAAATAGTTTAGGAAGAATTTAATACCACCACCATTATTACTAAAAGCAGTAAGTAACTTATTGAACACTTGTATTTAAGCACTGTACTAAGTGTTTTATACGTATTAATATACTTAATCCTCATGATCACCATATGAGGTAAGTAAGTCTATCAGCGTTCTCCTTTTATAGATGGGAAAACATGCAAAGAAATACCTTGTCTTAAGGCACTCAAATGTTGCTGATGCTGTTAGGGGTATTCAAGTTGATTTCAACTCACAACACTGTGTACAACAGAATCAAATACTGCCCAGTCACGTACCACCCTCAAAATAGTGCTATGTTTAAGCCCATTTTTTAAGGCAGCCACTGTGCCAATCCATTTCCTTCAGGGCCTTCCTCTTTGTCACTGACCTTTACTTTACCAAGCATGATATCCTTCTTCAGGGACTAGACCCTCCTAATAACATGACCAAAGTATGAGAGACAAAGTCTGGCCATTCTCACTTTTAAGGAGCATTCTGACTATACTTTTTCCAAACCAGATTTGTTTGTACTTCTGGTAGTCCATGGTATATTCAATATTCTTTGCCAATACAATTCAAATGCATCAGTTCTTCTGCAGTCTTCCTTATTCATTGTTCAACTTTCACATGCATATAAGGCTGCTGAAACGACAATGGCTTGGGTCAACTGCACCTTAGTCTTCAAAGTGACATCTTTGCTGCTCTTTAACACATTAGATAGAATTCTCTGCCAACAGATATGCTAAATGCAATATGTCATTTGATCTCTTGACTGCCGCTTCCATGGGTGTTGACTGTGGATCCAAGTAAAATGAAATCCTTGACAACTTCAATATTTTCTCTCTTTATCATGATGTTGCTTATTGCACCAGTTGCAAGAATTTTTATTTATTTCATGTTGAGATGTAATCCATACTGAAGTCTGTACTCTCTGATTTTCATCAGTAAGTGCTTCAAGTCTTCTTCACTTTCAACAAGGAAGATTGTGTCATTTGCATATTGCAGGTTGTTAATGAGTCTCTCTATTCTTGATGCCACATTCTTCTTCATATAGCCTGTTGTTGTTGTTGCTATGTGGCGTGGAGTTGGACTCGACTCATAGTAACCCCTCCATGGGTTTCCGAGGCAGTACCACTACGGAAGTAGATTGCCCCATCTTCCTTCCGAGGAGTGGCTGGTGGTCATATAGCCTAGCTTCTTTAATTATTTGCTCAGCATACAGATTCAATAAGTATGCTGAAAGGATACAACCTTAAGGAATACCTTTCCTGATTTTAAACCAGAGTTTAAACCACACAACCCTTGTTCTGTTTGAATGACAGCCTCTTGGCCTATACACAGGTTCCTCATGAGACCAGTTAGTTGTCAGCAATGATATACCTTCGTTCCATGCCCTTTTTTGAATCTAGCTTGAATTTCTGGCAGTTCCCTGTCTATGTATGTCAGCCTTTGAATTATTTTTAGCCAACTTTTACTTGTGTGTGATATTAATGATACTGTTCAATAATTTTCACATTGTTGGATCACGTTTCTTCTGAATTGGCATAAATACGGATCTCTTCCAGTCAGTTGTACAGGTAGCTGTTTTCCAATTTCTTTTGCATAGACAAGTGAGCACTTCTACTGTTGCAGTCTTTGTTGAAACATCTCTATGGGTATTCCATCAATTCTTGGAGGTTTTTTTTTTTTTTTTTAAAACCAATTCCTTCAGTGCAGCTTAGACTTCTTCCTTCAGTACCACTGGTTCTTGATCATATGCTACCTCTTGAAATGTTTGAACATCAACCCATTTTTCTTGGTCCAGTGACTCTGTGTATTCCTTCCATTTGCTTTTGATGCTTCCTACATGGTTCAATCTTGTTTCTTCAGTATTGCAACTTAAGACTTGGATTTTTTCTTCAGTTCTGTCCCTTTTGGATTTCTAACTCCAGGCCTTTGCACATTTCATTGTAATATTTTACTGTGTCTTCTTGAGCTGCCCTTTGAAATCTTCAGTTCAGTTCTTTTACTTCATCATTTTTTCCATTCACTTTAGCTACTCTCTCTTTTTTCCAATTGTGTTTTGGGTGCAGATTTACATAGCAAACTTGTTTTACATTCAACAGTTCATACACATCTATTCCACAGCCCCGATTACCATCCCCAACTGTAATAAACTCTCCTTCCCTCTTCCCTCTATGACCACCCCCTCCCTGTGACCTTCTTATCCATGCATTCCTGTCTGTCCAGCTTTCCCTCTATATGAGTGCTACCCCTTTGGTGTCTCATGGCTGATTGATCCAAGGGGTACTTCTCTCTAGAGTAGGTGGATCCATCAACCTGGAGTAGGTGTTTTGTATGAAGGTTTTTCTACTGTTGGGCTGAGAGCCAATCCATTTAACTGAGCCCAGTTCTAGGCCCGAAGGGTAACCCAGGGCCATAGTCTCGGGGGTTCCACCAGTCTCTCTCTGATCAGCAATTCTGGTCATTTTTATGTTTTTGAATTTTGTTCCACATTTTTCCTCCCACTGTATCCAAGATCTCCAGATTTGATCCCTTTTTGAGTAGCTGGCATTGAGAGCCAGGCCATCTAGTTCTTCTGGTCTTAGGTCATGGAGGCTGAGGTCCTCGTTGTCCTTCTTATCTTTGGACTAATTGTTTCCAGATGAGTTCGATCTTCTTCACTCTTCTTTGCCCCAGATAAGAGGAGACCAATAGTTGCATCTTAGATGGCCACTTGAAAGCTTTTAAGATCCTAGTTGCTATTTGCCAAATTAGGTTGTAGAACAAAATTTTTATGAACTTTGTGTGCCAATTGAGCATGACGTCCCCTGAGACTATGGTCTCGAGCCCTCAGGCCTGTTGATTCTCTCTTGCAAGATGTTTGGTTGTCTCTGAGAAATTATTCCAACCCTGTCTTCTGTTGTTTCTATAATGTATGTGTCTAATTTTGTAGTACAAGTGCACATGTAACATTATCTTCAGCCAAATCTATCCTTGGGTAGGGTGTATTCCTGTTGGCCTACTCTCACCTGCTCTTCTCACCTGTCTATGCATTAATCTGAAGCCTGGTATTTGGTGGTAGTGGTACTTCAGTGTTGTGTATGTAATAGCATTATATTATAGAGAATAGCTACTCTCCTTTTAAGAGCAAGTTTCAGAGGCTGTTCTGATACCCATTTGGTCTTGCCTTTCTTTCCATCTTTGTAACATCCTTCTGCTTTCTTCCCGTATGATGTCCTGGATGTCATCCCACAACCTGCCTGGTCTTTGGTGAGTGCTGTTTTTTTTGCTACTCCAGGTTTCTGTTGTGACCTTTCCAGTATTATGCAAGGTTTACTTAGTTCAACCCGTCTTTTTAATGCTGTTATTAGCTTGTGTGGACCAGTTAGCTTTTTTTTTTTTCAGATTCAATGGGCACAGTCTGGCCTTTCGTTGTGAAATCTGTTGTGCCGTCCTAGACATGACTGAGTATTATGTCAAGATGTATGGTTTCTGAAGCTCCTATACCTGTTAGGAAAGAATGTATGTACTCAGGAATCAGCAATTCATACTTAAGAAGCCAGTTTCTGTCAGTTGATACAACGGACTCTGAACGCACAGAAGTCACTGAAACAGAAATGTCTTGAAAGGAAATCTCTTACTTGGTGAGTGGCTGGTTAGAAAGCAACTGCTTGAGATGCTGGGACAAGAGCTTCTTTTCTAGGGACAGTCTTATCCATGCCCGAGCTCGTCCGACATCAGTCTTGATCTCACTCATGTTTTGAATATGCCTAAAGAACAGCAGCAACAGCAAAGATGTAAATCCTGAAGACAACTTCAAACTGAAAAGAACTAGAGTTACAGCACTTGGTACAGTTCTTTTATCCTTAAAGGGAGTAGGGGATAATACACATTTTATGTTGATTAAATCTTTAAAGGTTATATCTGAATCATAAATTTAGTCCCACATCTAAATTACCATTTACAACACAAGTACAAAGTCCTAAGACAAAGCTTTTAATACCCATTCACTCTTTCAGGCTTTACATCCTTGTTTTAGACCACAGACATCTGTAAGCTGACATTTAGTTATTTCTTATGGTCAGGAAAACAAAAGTAGTAAGACAGGTTGAATATTCAAGTTCTTACTCAAACTTATTCGAAGTTGTTCTGTAGTTTAATGAAATATCTGCCACACTTTACTGAATCATTTTTCAAGTAATCTTGGACAGCATATGGAAAATATGAAATCTTACTTTCTACGGCATTGGAGAAGATAAGCTTTACTGCACTGACAAATTAAAATTTCTTCAAAGTTGGAGAAGACTTGGAAAATTGTGTGGCTACAAAAAAAGTGTAGTCAAATACCTATAAATGTTACATACATGTATGAATTTGTATTCTGTGTAAATGTCAATGCTATACCCAACAGGACTGAATTTATGTTTCTAAATGCTTTTTTCTGTTCATTGAGGGGGAAAAGAAATGGCAGGAAGGTCAAGGGTGGTAACTGTACAACCACTATAGTGAGTCACTGAAAAGTCTTTGTTTCTGTGACCCACCATCCCCTCCTTTTTTATTTTTATATCGGAAATGACTCATCATGGCTCTAATAAATACTGTAACGACTCTTTTCTCTGCTGATTCTAAGTGTTCAGATTAAAGGATATCCTCCATGCAAAACATATACATTCGCATTCTGTCTCTGTGACACTCTCTCATACTCCCTTTTCTTGTTCAAATATTTGGTTCTGAAGATTCAGGCCTTCAACCTTCAGTGATGATGTATGATCAAACACCCTTGAGAAACAAGATGTAAAGCATTTTTTATCATACAGACACCCTAAAAAGTGGCTTAAAAGTAAGTCAGATGAGGAGATAAAAAATTCTGTTGCGATTTTTGTGGGGTTTAGCTAACATTACCTCACTTTTAAGAACTTTCAGAATCTATCACAAACTTTTTATTTATTTTGACAAGACTTTTTATTTTAAAGAGCTAATACCATTACACATGATCACATGGGGAGAAAGTACTTATCAATCAAGTACTTAATGTTCAACAGTATTTATGAGGTACTCCTGTGAGTACAGTGCCATGTTACAGCTTAAATAAGAGGACCAAGATGAATCAAAATGTATTAATTAAAAATGAATCTATATGAAGTTTGCTAATTATTTATGATGTTAATCTTCTCTTAAGTATTCTCCCTACTCAAACACAGTAAAATCTATTGAAATTAGTTTTATTCTGGACTTAAATATCTGGAGACATGGTACGTGAAAAACGGCAAAGGGAAAAATAACTGTAATTTGAAAAAAAAAAATCTGTGTTTCAGGAAATTGAGAAGGAATGAAATAAAGTGAAACGTATTTTAGGTACCAGTCAGCTTTCTCATCACAGAAGTATCTCTGCTAATTTTTCTGGAAGGAGGCATGTGTTTTTTTAGAGATGAGGCCTCCAAACTTTTCTCAAGCTCCTCTTGTTCTCTGGCACCAGAGAAATCAATCTGCCTAAAATATTGTCTACTTAATGTTGTTCCTTTATTCAAAAACTTTCAAGAGTGCATAGGATACAGCCTGAACTGTTCAGGCTGGCATTCTTCTACTGCTCAGCTTCACCCTTTCCAATATTATTTTCCTATTAACAAAAAACATGTACCATTCAAGGGAGTCTGATTTACTCGACTTTGCTTCCCATTACCTGAAGCACTCTCTTTTAGCTTATTTGATTCTATTAGTCTTTGATATCCCAGCTTCTACTATGGAGTTTTCTTTGACCATGATAGCCTTCAACGACCTCTCTAATTTATGGATTTCTAGACTGGCAGTTCAAACCCACCAGCCACTCCTTGGAAGGAAGGTTGGGCAATCTACTTCTGTAGTGATACCACCTTGGAAACTAAAGGAGGGGTCGCTATGAGTCGGATCCAACTCTATGGCAGTGAGTCAGTGAGTGAGAGTCTAATCTATCACTTATCATCATAATTCCTAGTACTTTCATCATCATCTTTTGGTATAAATTTTTCTCAGTTCAACATAAGCTCCCTGGGGACAAGGAGTCCAATACTTCTTAGCCTTGCTTCCTTCTCTGTACCTTTATAGGGCCTAGTATAATGTCTCTAGCATAAAATAAGAACTCAGAAAGTCCTGCCGAATAAATCTATAGTATCTAATTGTACGCTTCAAAACAATTTATATGTATCATGTTACTGAACTTTAATCCAATTAAAAAATATTTGCTGTGGGATATACAGGCGATAACTGTAGTTGCTGTCAATAAATCATACATCTGTAAAAAGGTGAAAGATTAATTTGCTGTGTAATTATATAGTTTCAATGTTTTTTAATGGAGAAATTTATTATAGGCAATTTCTTTGGCATTGAGTATAATATCACACAAGTATTGCTTCCAAAAAAGATACTGTTAATTTACAAATAAACATATATAATGTAGTTTAAAGAATTTGATTGGTTTCTAACTCTGATATAAAAGCTTTTAAATGTAGAAGCTTTTTTTTTTTTTACTGTGATTTCAGTGGAAGTTTACAGAGCAAATTCACTTTCCATACAGCAGTTCATATACACTTTGTCTCATGACATTGACAATAATTTACCACAATGCAACAGCTCCCCCCACATCCTGCCCATAGTTACCTTTTCCCTGTGTCCATCCCTCCATGCACTCCTGGCCCCTGAGCTGTCTCCCTGTGCATAAACAGCCCTTCTTTCTCCCATGATTGTTCTCTCCAAGG